CAAGATCCAGCCTGCCGTGACAAGAAAGTGAGAAACACGTGAAAACAGATTTAATTCTTGCTTTATTGAATACTAACAATGCTGAAGAGATCTTTTTTTGAATCTGTTGTGTCACATGGCAATATGAGGCCTCCTCACTCAGAAAAAAAGATAGATCAAATCTTCCACAGAGCCCTTCGAAGACTTGGTATATTTCAGCTCAATCACATGAAGGTACTCTTCATCGGGATGGCGGGTGAAAATGCCAAGCCGGGGGGAAAAAAAAAGAGATTAGCTTAAATTTTGCAGCTACAGCATCAAAGAGAAAGAAACTCGCTTCCTTCATACACACTCGGAGATCAAGAAAGCTTGCACGATAAATTCCCCAAAGTTTGCATTTTACCCCACTCTTACCGTCTTTCTCTATGCAGCATCTCCATCTCGCACCTTTCAATCTCCTCCCTCCTGGTGGAAAAAAATTACTGCCTTTTATAAAGTTCCCCAGCTAAGTTTTGCCGATAATGAAAAAAACCCAGCATCAGAAGGCAACTAATCGCAAAATACCTTCAGCTACCCAGGCAAACAGAAGTGAAGATGCTAGTTGTCTGACGCAATACTTTCCTCCGCTTACAACAGTTGTCTGATGTAATATTTTCCTCCACTTACAACAGTTGTCTGATGAAATCTTTTCCTCACCTTATAACACAAGTTGGCAAAAAAAAAGAAACTGTCACCAATGGAATCTGATGCAAATATCTAAATATTGCCATAATGTAGTAAATAATTAATTCAACGTGACCTCGTCACAATGAGGATGAAAAAAGTGTTTTATATGCTCTTCGAACTTTCCTAAACATTAAATCCCTCTAAACGTTTTGAATATTTTGTTGATTATTACTACACAACCAGCAGCAATATAAATGGTCTGCTTCTTATTTATGCATTAACTAAAATAAAATTGACACATTCACTACTGGGGGATAGCCTGCTTTTCAAGATTTTATGAGTAGCATGAAAGAAAATGGAAAATGAGAAAAGCAAATGTTCTCATCAATACATGAATATCCATTGATCATTATTAAATATACACCAAATCAACCATTTCAAAAGCTCTTCAATCTGTTTTCAGGGTACATAATGAAATTTAACTTTTAATTTCCTTGACTTTCTCTAATTTTTACATCAGCAAACTTAACAATTTTCCTCAACAAATAAAGTTAAAAACACTAAGCATGAGTAATTAAAAATTTTATAACTAAAAATGCATTTAATTCAAAATACAGAAAACTAATAAAAAACAATGTATAATTTATCCCACTCATTATTCTAAAGAAAACAAAAGTATATTGAAGTATATATCTAAACTAGAGGTGGAAAACGTGCGGCCTCTAGCTCTTGTATTTATTAATACATAATTATACAGATTATGACAATTTGATAATTAAGAGAATTAAATAATGTGAGCATTTTTTGCACAAAAATAACTATTTTGCAAGGCACACTGGCACATTATTTTGATTGTCAACTATATTCACGTAAATATAATGCATCATCGTTAATTTCAGCAGATGCTAAATTTAGACAAAGAAACTTGGAGTGTTGATGTACCGTACTACTGCAAGGTTCGCTGGCTATCAACAGGACAGGTCTTGATAAAAGTATTGATAAAAGTATTAACTTTACTATGACAAATTTTAAACTTTTATCAGAACAGGGAAACTGTGATCTAGCAGATGAAGCATTTTGCAAAAACATTGAATTTTTGTCTAATATTTTGACAAAACAAAACAATTTAAATATTTGCCTGAAAGGTTAAATGAAACATATAGTACAGGGTTGGCCAAACTTCATGTCAGTAAGAGCCGCATGTTTGAATTCAGGAAGGTTCGACAACCGCATCTAGATTTTCTAAAGCCACAAGTTCATATTTGCATCATTATAGAAGTAGTGGAGGAGGTTTTAAATAGAAAGAAATCTGTGATAACTTTGTAAAAAGAGTCTAAACTAATTAATTACTTCTTTTTGGATGCTGAATAGTTTTAGTTTACCATATTTCATACATATATTTTATATGCACGAGCCGCACAAATTGCCTGCGAGAGCTGTATCAGGCTCGCAAGCCGCACTTTGGGCAATCCTGATATAGTATATGAAATATGGCAAAAGACCCAAGCTTTTCGAAAAAATTAACATCTTTCAAAACACTGTTCTCTTGCTCGGATATACTTGCAGAACTCTTCCTTCCCCAAGCTAGCAAAAATGTAAAAATAAAATATTCGATGAATATGTAGGTATCTTGGATTTTTTAATAGAAGAATACACTGAAAGATTTTCATATTTTGAGAAGCAAATTTCTGCTATGAAACTGGCATTTGAACCAGTACATATATCCAAAGCTCCTACAGAACTACAAATGGAGTTGAGTTGTGCTACGATAGTATCCTCAGATCTCTTTCTGATGCTAAAAGGAATCCCATAGAAATCTCAAAAAGTACTACAGTCAAAAGTCGTTAATTTGGACACCCATAATCCGGACCTCAAAGCTAATAACTTTCTGCGCATGCGCCGCGTTGACACATGCGCATAGGTGTTTACGCATGCGCGTAAGACCTTTACGACTGCGCATATGCGTGTGCGCAAGCGCAGAATACGTTTTCGCGTGCGCGTTTTATGTATAACAGATGGTATAAGCTAAGTCTAATTAAACTATTTCATTAATCTTATCTATTATCTATTTCAGTTAATGTTGATTATTGTGTTGTTCCTTAATCTTCAAATTGGATCTGGCTTATTATTTTTTGCAGACTGTAAGAGCAATTTTATAAAAGTAAACTTGAACTTTCGATTATGTCAAATAGAATTTCCGATGCTGGAGCTCCCAAAGGATCTACAAAACGAAAGTATGTTTCGATGTCCATCAAACAAAAAGTGGAATTGCTGCAAAAAATGGATAAAGACATGAAGAAAGTGACAGAGAGGTTAGTGAAAATGAAAAAATTTCGATTGACAAGTTAGTCGGTATTCTCGGCACAGCAATTACGGGACTTGAACAGCGGAACTTTTGTAACTGAACAAGAAATTATGTCTGTTTATAGAATTAAAGAGAAAGTATTATCACATAAAACGAAGCAACTTAAACAACTTACTTTGACAGAAATGTTTAATAAAGTAAACAAATAAATATTAAGCTTTTTTTTTTTTTTGTAAATTTTGATACCCTTTAGATCATAATTGTTCTTTACTTTATAAATTACGGTTTCATATTTTTAATTTTAGAATTTCTGCATGCCATCTTACGAGATTTAAACTGATGATCTATAATCCGGAAAAATTGATAATCCGGAATCGCCGAAGTCCCGACGAGTCCTGATTAACGACTTTTGACTGTATCCATGTCTACAAGAGCATGCACGCCATTTACTTTCCTGCTTTGGAAGTATTTACTGCTGCAAGACAGATTTTTTAGACTAATGCTGTTTCAACAACTACATAATTTCAATTTTATTTTTTGGGAGGTAACTAAATGTGCAAGACTCTCAACTAGCCACTATGTAATATAATATTTAATCCTCTGATAGCCAATTTTTTTTTTGGGGGGGGGTCTAATACTGTTTCAATAAATTAATAATTTTGTAGTTTAAGTACATACTTGAAAATTGAAATAATTAGAATGTTCACTATCTTTTTTTAATACACTGCAACAGCTGATATGGCAATAACAGAAAGAAACTGGCTGTGACTATGTTCTAAGGACTTCGGATCTAGAGGCTTGGATTCAAATCCCAGAAAAGTATAGATTTTGTAATTGTACTGCACTGGTGCAAGTGCACTGATACTGGTGCAAGTGCACCATTAAATTAGGCATATATAAAGCCTCAAATACCCTCACCATGGATATTCTTGATCCAAATTTGAATGCAGCTAAGCAGATATTCCTGATATCCTTTACCTTAACTAAATAATCTAAAGTAAAATTAATTTTCAAAATTTTATTAAACTTTTAAAAGTTTGAGTGTTTTTAGATTCATGACAGAAATTGCAACTTTTAAAAGTTTGAGTGTTTTTAGATTCATGACAGAAATTGCAACTTTTAGAAGTTTGAGTGTTTTTAGATTCATGACAGAAATTGCAATCAGATGAAGCTGATGATTTATTAAATTAATAAATAACCCACTTTTGCAGCATTGTATTGTCTATGCAAGTGGTATTCGAACTTTATGGCAATGCAAACCCTTGAAAGATCCCCCAAAATCCCCCACCAGAGTGTCAACTCACAGTTATATACCATAAATTCAGACTTTTTATGATTTTTATCCACCTTTCAACCCAACTATAAATTTTCAAGACTCCATTTGGGGTTGCAACCTATACTTTGAATGCCAATGGTCTATTCAAATCATAAAATTTGTGAATCAAATATGCAATAGATTGAAAACCTTAAAGCAGGGTTTCTTAAACTGTGGGTTGCAACCTGCAGCAGGGGGTTGCCAAAAATTTAGCAATTTTGATATTTCTTTAATGTATTATAATAATTTTACAATTACCAAATATTTTTACACAATGTATCTGAAAATAGATAAAGAAAATACACACAAAAAAAATGAAAACATTTTGACACATTTTTTTTATAATATAAATGTTCGTTTTCCTTGCTTTGCACGTGATGCCGTCATTTTGTCTGTTACTTATTTAAAATTTTTACATTGTTCTAATTGACTTAAAATTAAAAATTAAAGTTAATGACCTAAAACTGCAATAGTATATTACAGTAGAAGTGAAAAAATTGACAGTTTCACTCACGTGTGTGTCGAATTTGCGCAATATAAATGGGGTCCCTCAAAATTTTTGTAAATATTATGGAGTTCTGGGGGTCGTGAAAAAATCTCAGTGATAAAAAGGGGTCGCGACTGAAAAAAAGTTGAGGGAATCCTGCTTTAAAGTAAAGTGAAACAATAAAAATGCATTTGAATAAATACTTAATTAACAGACAACTGTTCATGGAAGTTCAATATTCAACTTACAGAATTTGAGGAGTCTGTAATAAGCTTGATCCACCATAATTGAGAGGATAAGTATACATCAAAAAGTAGTACAAATGTCCCACAAGAATGCCAAGGATGTGATTAAATCCCCTAAAATGTAAATGAATAATAATTGTTATTTTACAAAACAGAATATTTTCCAGCTATTTTTACCTCCCACCAACTTATATAAATAGGTTATGTTTTCCAGTCAAAAATTCTACAGAGATTTTTTTTCAGTGAATAAACAAAAATTAGGGCACAGTAGTATGTTTTTACTACTTTTGCAATGCTTTCTTTAAGTGCGTGTGATGATTTTTTTTTCATCCATGGTAACTTTAATACCAAACCTCCAAAAATTTCTGCCTTCTGTATTTAAGCTTTCTGCATTAATATAAAGAGTTGAGCAGAGTTTAGGCAAAATTGGACAACTAGAAGTGGTATTTTACTTGAATTCTATAACAGTTTTTAATGAAAAACTATATTAAAATATAATCCAAAACTTTAGAATTTTAGTACTTAAGCCTTTAATATAAAAAAGGAACAGCATATTAGATTTTGGCTAAAACTGATAAGCTGGAAGTAATACTTTACTTGAAGCTCTAAACAGACTTTCATTAAAAAATACGTTATGATATAATATGAAATTTCTTAAATTTGGTATTGAAAACTTGCATGCATTTAAAACTTATATGCATTGTTTATGCATATATGATGCATATACAATCGCAAGTAAGGACAAATACCAGATTTTGACTACATATGATAACACAGAAGTGGTGCTTAAAATTCTTAAAGAAATTTTATGGGAAAATATAAAATCACTACAACAGTTTAATCTAAAATAATACAGCATGCAAGGCTATTTTTAATATATCTAGACATGATATTTATTTTCATCAAGTGACAGAAGAGAAAGATTTTTATAAGAGCATTTCATATGCACAGCTTAAAAACTCTTATAAAGCAGGCATGTTATCAAAAAATGCATTGGTTATTCTCATGCACTGTTGATGATGGCAAGGCACAAAAGCTCCCCCCAACACGCACAAAAAAAAAAAAAAAAAAAAATTGAAAACACCCATTGCTTTACTTCTTACTGATCACAGAATGCATGGTAATCACTATTCAGCTGCAATTCCAAAAGCTTATAAGCATTGTTTACTGATACCTAATATTGCGAGGACATTTGTGCAGATAAAAATTTAATTAGTTTTCCTGACAGCAGAGAATAGCATAGAGGATTAAATTATGGTATTCATTTCAAAATATTTATTTTAAATATATTATAAAGACTTAATTTTCTTTAATAAAAACAAATTACATTATATATCATTCAAGTGTCCAATAAAATACAATTTTTAGTAATAAAATAAAATGGCAAACATTTGATTATGCATGTGTAAGTTTAGAAAACCAGTTTTTATGCATGATCAATTATATCTAATAAAATCCAGTCTAAAATTTCATATTACAGACCTTTCTATTTATTGGAACAACACATTAAATTTTGTTTACAAATGATCAATCGAAAGTAATACTTTACTTAAAGCTTGTTGCTATTTCAAAACACAGAATTGATGGAAGGTCATATGCCAGGCAAGTACTGGCCAGACTTTTTCAATATGCAAAAACGACAATTCAACATGTTACATGCTATAGTAATCTTTGGTACAAAATGCCAAATAGGCCCTTTTATTTTAATGGTGTTTTACATTTGTAGTGTAATTTAAAAATTTTCCCAGTCAATTAAATTTACTCAAGGCATTAAATTAAGTTATTTGATTGTTCAATAGTAACCCTCAGGTGCCGTTGTGTGCTGTCCGCTTCATGCAGCAAAAATTTAAATGATGAAATCGTTGAAAAAAATTCAAACTCAAATATAAGTTATTTATAAAACACCATAAAATGATCTCCACAGGGATTTAAACTGATGTCAGATATATGAAAGTTATTACTCTGTAATAAAATGCATTTGTCATTTATATATGAATGACGAATCTATACATATTATAAAGTATATATACATTATAAAATACAGAATAATATGTGGTTGCCACAACTTGAAGAAGTTAATTTGCATAGTCATTAGGATAATCAATGTCATGAAGGTGAAAAATGTGCGATGCCCTCGCCGAGACTCAAAAATGGACCTCTCAAATACACATTGAGTGTGCTATGCTACACCGCTAAGGCATGCCAGAAAGGGGTAGAAAATACCCTATAAATTCACATGAATAATCTCAGTTAATCCTCATGAAAGATACAGGTTGAATTATAATAGAGAAAATTCTGAAATGATACTTTTTATGAAAAAAAATCCATGCATTGTATTCTTCCAGTCCCCAACACGATATAAAAATATTCAACACTGTAGTTCCAGCACTTTACGATTGGTTTCTTTTCACTTATGTTCTGTCTCAAGGCATTGACTTGTCTGGTAAAATCATCTGTTTTATTTTCCATGCCCTGGGTTCTGCAATTCTGTCACATCTGACCTTCAGTACTCCATTTCTAACATGTTAGAGCCAGTTTGCTCTCACTCCTACATTGACTTGTCAAGCATATTGACTTGTCTGGATAAATTATTTAAACAAGACATCACTTGATCCACTGGCTCGTAGACTTGCACAGCTCTGGCTGGTTGGCAGTCTCTCTACGAATTGCTTGCTGTGCTGCCTCGAATTTCATGGCGTACACTACAGCGCTTTTTAAGTCTTTGACATCTGCCACTTGCAGTGCTTTCTGTATTTCAGGATCTTGGATGTTATCAATGAAGTACTGCAGGGATAGGATTTTCCTTGTTTCTGTTGGACATTCTAAAAAGGCAAGATGAGACAGCCTTTCAACATCTGTGGTGAGCTCCTATAGTGTCTTGGTGGACTTCTGTTGGCGGGATTTTAATTGAAGCCTGCTCATTTTTCACATCTCCTGCTTTCAAAAAAAACCTAATGACACTACAACGGTGCCTAAAATAAAAGGTGGTGAATGATGATTCTTCACCACCAGTATTTGGCAATTGGGTCGACTAATCCACAGTCGCCCTTTAAAAGGAGGATTATACAAGGAATTTTATCCCTCCTCTCAGCATGCCTTCATGGTGTAACGGTTAGTACACTTAGGACGTATTCGAGAGGTCCAGGTTAGGGCCTGGCGAGAGCATTTCTCATTTTACACATCTCCTGCTTCCAAAAAAACCTAGTGGCTCTACAAGGTTTGTTAAATGTCCTTAAACTACACTCCATTTCTGAAAACACTGGATTAAAAAAAGAAACAAGAATTGGATGCAGGAATTATTGAATCAGTATTATTGCTTCCATCCATGGAGAAACAGAATGGAATTGTTTCAATGCAATCAATAACTGAAGATTTATTTTTCATACCCATTTCTTTAACAATTGCAGCCATTTTGGTCCTTGCCTGCGAGTATTTTTTAGTGATTTTGTCATCGGGAAACATTTTTCTAAATAAAGCTGCAGCATGATCCGATGCAATCAGTAGTAAGTTGATTAGTTTTAGTACTTTATTTCCACAGAAAACTTTAACTTTTTTTTTCAATAGAATTCATGTTGTCCTTGTGTTTTTCTTTATGCACATGTTTGAGAACATGGGCTCTTCCACCTTGCGAAATCGAAAAATTGAAATGACAAAAGATACACATAACAAATGTATTGCTTTTCCTTGAGAAAATAATAAAAGGAAAGTCATCTGTTTGAAATGTACATAAGCATTTTACCTTTTTTGCAGACATAACTAAAATAAAAGATCATAATTTCTTAACTATTTCTCGAAAGCATGTGCGTGCACTCACACCGCAATAATGGGTCCAGTTGACTGAACCTGCGTTGAAGATGTGAAGGTCTGTACGACTACCAAGCATGATGCCTCCCCAAACAAGAACACCGCCACCTCCATACCTGTCCCTTTCAATGATGTTCGAGGGATGATTGCGGCTTCCCCGCTCTCTCCAGATGAGTATGCGATGAGAATCGCTACTCAGACCGAATCTGCTCTCATCTGTAAAGAGTACTCATCCCCATTCATTGTCTCTCCAATTCCGGTGTTCCCTGCACCACAGAGAATGCCTTCTTCGATGGGCAGGCGTTAGAAGTACACACTGTACAGGGCATCGTGCAAACAGACCACCACCGTGCAGTCTTCTGGCCACGGTAAAACGCGATATCGGTCGTCCAGTCGCCTGTGTCGTGTGTCTAGCGATTTCTCCCACTGTCTGCCGCCTGTTTCTTCTGGCCTGTAAGGCAATATACCAGTCATCTGCGGGTGTGGTTCCTCATGGACGACCACTACTAAACCCCCTTGGATAGCTGTTCCTGTAGTTTGAAATTGTCTGCAAAGTCGTGAAACGATGATGTAAGCAATTCCGAACTCTGCAGCCACACTTGTCACACTGTGGCCTTCCTCCAACTTCCCAATGATTCGACCTCGGGTAAAAGCATCCAGATGTCGTCTAACAGATTGATTACTCGCCATTTCTCGCTGAGGCAGCAACTCGGTGTGATTTTAACTGCTATATGGAGTGCAATCTCTTTGCCAGAAATACTGATCTTACAACGACAACATGCTTTATACTACTCAGACACTCCCCCATTACGTCTACCTGCATATCTGCGCATGTGCTACCGTACATCACCTTACTTAATCTCCTGATTGGTCTTTCTGTCCGCTTTGCCTCTTCGTTCAGCTGATATGCTAATTTTTCGACTTCGTCCTTAATTTTTGCACACCAGTGTATATGCCAGATGACACACAGTGGCGCTCGATGCTGATTGGAGAACTGGAATACAGCATTTTCGCACACATGTGGTCTCACCCACAAAGCAGAAGTACACCATAATTTCTCACTGATGAAATGACTTTAGTTTTCTTTTAGATGTAATCTAGAGAAAAACCAAGTGACACCCAAAATCACTTTTTTCGGTGCAAATAACAAAGCATTAACCCAGGATACACAAAAATCACGATAATTTTTAAGAATAAGAAAAAGTCATGAGAAATCTGTTGAAAATTCCAGTTGGCGCGAGAACAGCTGGAACACATGTCTGAAATCAGGAGTCTCCCACCTAAATTGAGAGAGAGTTTGTAACTCTGTAATGCCTTTTGTAAAGCATCCTCTTTTTTTCATCACTTGGGTCAATCTCCATTACAAAATCAAACAGGTCCCACAGCTTTAACAATTCGTTAATTTTTTTTAAGGGCACTTTATCTTCATTATTGCCATTTTCACTGCTAGCTGGTGTTACAAGATCATCCAGTTCTTCACTCATGATTTCTCGATTTAAGTACTCCTTCTATATCTGACAATCCTATGCAATTTGTACAATTTCTTCAGTGCCATTTTCAGATCTTCAAAACTATTCATAACTTCTTGCAAAAGCTGGTGTTAACAAGGAATCAGTGGTAACAAGTGAACATTGAATTGCATATGAATGAAATTCTAGCACTGGGCAAATTAAATGGAAATAAATGAGATGGTCACAGCAAAAATATCTCGGATGAAAATGTTCGGGAGAAAGCAACATCGTACAAAACATCGTAGGAAAAAAGAAAGTAAGCAAAAAACAACACAATTCTAAAACTCCGTGCTATAAAACATTTTCGACAAAAGTAAAGTGGTTCAAAAACATCCAAATTTTAAAACATCAAAGAAGAAAATACTGTTGTAAAAAATAAAGCTCCTATATATCACTGTATGATGATAACATCATAGGCACACATTCTTCAAGCTTTAAAAGTAGTAAATGTATATTTGCATAATTAGTTGTGAGCACTTGAAGGAATGAGAATATTTTTATGTATATATTAAATAATTTGGAATCGATTAATAAATTTTTACTAAAAATACAAGAAGGAAATTTAAGCACTTAAAAACTGAAAATGAGTAGAAAATTAATGCTATGCATAACAGTCAAGTTTATGAGTTAACTATAAAAAATCATTAATTAATTAAGCATTTTTATAAAGCTGTATTGGAGCTTTGCATGAAAAATATATTCTAAAGAAGAATATATCAGATAAAGAAGGGGAAATAAAATTCCTTTACCATTTGATAATTAAGTAAGCAATTTTAATATAGGTAGCCTCATGCAACCACTCATCCTCTCTTTTATATCTGACAGATTTCAGACTAGATTTTTTATGAAAAACTACTAATACAGCTTCATAAAACAGATTAATTGAATAATGACTTTTAATATTTAACTATATTAGTTTAAAATTCCTTTAACTGTTATGCATAATATTAATTTTCTACTCATTTTCAGTTTTTGAATGCTTTAGTTTGCTTCTTGCTTAGCAAAAATTTAGTAATTTCCTCAAAAATATAAAATATACAGGGTGTACCGTAAATGTTGGGACAAACTTCTAGGGAAGATAGGGCACATCATAAGGGTTAAGAATTGCATAGAAACCTATGCCTAGAAAGATCACTGTATGCCAACAAGGGGTGCTCTACAGGAGAGTGCTCGTGGAAAGTGAGGATTGCCTCATTCGAGTGGTATGCATGGAATGCTATACAAATGGAGAGCTTGCAGACATGTACTTAGTGTATAAAATAGCTGAGGGTAATGGACGAGCCGCTACACGCATTGATCTAGAACGCTTCCCCTACAGACATCAACCACACCACAGTTCGTTCGCATAAAAATATGTGACTACGGGTCATTAAGCGGCAGGACAAGTGAGGGCAGGCCACAATCGACTCATTCGGTCATTAGGGAAGAAAATGTGTTAGATATGGTGTAGAGTAATCCAAGGACCAGAATCCATCGCCTCTCAGTGTCCAGCGTGTCTTGAATGGAGTGTCCTTCCACGCCTTTTGTCTCCAAAGGGTTCAGTTACTGCTCCCCAATGACTATCCTGAACATGTGCATTTCACACAGTGGTTTCTGCAAGAAAGTGCCCATGATGTTAATTTCTCAGCTTATGTGCTATTCACGGATGAGGCCATATTCACTAATCGCCACAATCAAGCATTTGTGGGCTCAAGAAAACACACACTGTGTGTGGCACCTTCGGCACAACAACGCTTCAAAGTCAATTGGAGGGCAGGTTTGGTCAGTGACTGCTTAGTTGGAGCGTACCTTTTACCATCCAGGTTGAATGCTGTGAGTTATCTGATTTTTTCTGAAGCAAGTTCTTCTCTGCTTGCTTAATGATGTTCCACCAAATGTGGCAGTTCCAACATGATGGGGCGCCTGCTCATTTTGGACTGGATGTTCGTAGCCATCTGAACAGATCATTCCCACATTGATAGACTGGGTGTGGTGGACCAGTAGTTCGCTGGACCTCACGCTCACCGGATTTATCGAGCCTTGATTTCTTTTTTTGGGGAGCCATTAAAATTGTCGTGCATCACAAATGGATCTTGTGGCAAGACTCGGCTGGCAGCTTCTACAATCAAAGAAACTCCCGGTGTGTTTGAACATGTTCGACAATCATTAGGGAATCCATCGGTGTCATGCATGTTTGGCATCTGATGGTACAAACTTCGAGCAACTGTTGTAACATTCAAGCTGTCAAAGCACTATTTGTATTCATGTCCAATAAATGTTTAAAAATTAATGACTCTCGTTTCCTTTCCCATCTTTTATCTCTGTTACCACTTACCCCTGACACTTCGGGATATAGGTTCCTATGCAATTCTTAATCCTTATGATGTGCCCTACCTCCCTAGAAGTTTGTCGCAACATTTACATACATCCTATAGGTAAAAATACTCCTCTTTCTTTCTAGTGATCACAAATCATAATGCAAATATAAATTTATAACTTTTAAAGCCTGAAAACACATGTCTGCGATGTTATCGTCGTGCCATGATTTGTAGGCGCTTTATTTTTTACCACAATATTTTCTATGCTGATGCTTTTAAGCTGAAGTACTTTTGAATCACTTTATTTTCAATGACAATGTTTTATCTTTGTTTTCTTTTCTCTTATAATGTTTTATATGATGAAATTTTTGCCTTGTGTTGTTTTCTACATTATGTTTTTGGCAGACACCTGTAAGACAATGTATTTATGCAAAATCAAATTCTGCAAATCCATACTTGGATTTATTTTATACATAGTTATTTCTAAAAGTGTCCTTTCCAAAAATTTTACTGTTCAAAGTTTTCTGTAAAACTTAACTTTTGGTAACAATTTAAATTATGAACTTTAAATCACTATCTTGATGTATTTCGCAGATTCAAATGTTTGTTAATTTTAAGGCACCTTATTCTGCAAGGCTTCATTCTATTTCTTCAGTTTTATTAGATTGTAAAATTTCTTTTAAACTGCAGTATATTCAATCACATGGCAACAAAGGAATACAGCACACAAATGCTATATAAAGACGGAAGAAATACTAATAATATATTTTAACAAATTTTTGTAATTAAAAATTTGATATTGAGTTTTATAATTTCTCACAAAGATAAAATATCCTATCATATTAAATATTTACACTGCATTTAATGATAAACATATTAATCACTATTAAATGCAATTCAGTCAAAGCAAAATCAAAATTCAAATAAACAATTCATATCCTTGAGCCATTAAAATAAAAATTCAAGAGAATAAGCATACCCTCCAGCCATTATGAAGTTGAAAGCAAATAATATCCATGGTAGATATATTGCCTATTAAATAAATATACACATATAACATATATGCTCATAGATGCATAATCACGAATACATAAAAAAACTCATATAATGATAATTAACAGAAATTATTATATCAAAGTTAATATTTCCAAAAGGAAAAAAAAAATTAAGGAAGAGAATTACCTATATCAACAAATAATTTGAAAATTATTCTTCCATAGAAATTTCACAATTCACTATATACTTAGATCACTGGTTTTCATCTTAAAATATGTACTTCCTTCAAAATACTAAAAAAGCATGATCTGGTTTTCAGATCTATTTATGCAATGTTTCAGTTAAGTATGCATTTTACTATATATCAAAATATTGAAATTGAAAATTCTTTTAATCATCTAAAATCTTGAAGAGAATATTTCTTTTTATAAACTATAAATGTAGCATACCTTAAGAAATTAAATATGTTTCTGAATTAAAAAAAATAATGTATTAAGTTATTTTTAATCCAGTAACGTTAATCTGCTGCATTATTTTTTTCTACAAAAAATTGTTGAGTTCTTAGACTTAAACAATTTCTGAACATTTAATTATGCAAAAAAACTACACAGACAGATTGTAAAGTTCATTCCTAAGTCCTTTTTTTCCTTATCAAATTTAAATTCTTCATGATCCATTGTACTTTTTAGAGCATTTTTTAAATGATTTCAAACATCAACAGACTACTTTGTGATCCCCTGTTTAGTACTGTAGATAAAACATTTTTTAATTCCTCTGAATTGAATGAAAAGAAACATACAATTACCTTTTCAATGTTAAGAATGCCTATAAATCATATGTCAACAAGCCTAGGCTATAAGCAAGATATTCTTCTAATGTTAATAGTACAACTTCAGATAGTGCCGGCCAATGCCATAGCAGCAATAAGTAGCCAAGCATTGTCCTGAAGTAAAACCCTGGTTTCTTGAGCAAATCAAGCATTTCTTCCTCACAGCTCTATGAAAGTGTTTTTAAAGTTATTTACATAACAGTCACTGTTAATTTTCTGCTCATGGGTGTGCAATGTTGACATCATAACCACTGAATAATCAGCCAAAATGTAAAGTACTAATCATGTAAAAGTGCCAGCTCCTGATTACTCGCATGTTACCACCTTGAAATAACTCTACAGATAAAATATTGAAGCACGAATAAATGTTTTATTATCATATGCCTACTGGAAGATTTCAAATATTTCATGATGAAACTTTAACGCAAAATTCATACGGATAGCGTTAGAAAACAGGGATTACACACACATTTCCACTCTGTGTGAACATAAAGTTCATGACTGTCCAACTGCAAGTTCAAATATGTCAAAGTATATTATTTGCTAACCAGATAGAGAACTTGCCACATCATATCAGAAAAGAGAACTAGAAACAATCTCAAAAGATTTTAATAAATTTTTATACACAGGAAACAGGCTAGAAACAATGCATATTGCAATGTAAAATCATTCAAGCCTAACAAATAATTCAAGAACCTTACCTTAAATTGTGTTCCAAACCAAAAATTCACAATAGTATCTTTATTAAATTGGCACCATATGTAAAGAACACTCAATATCATCGGATCCATAAGTAACTACAAAAAGAAGAAACAGTTTTTGGTTTAGATATGAACAATATAAATAGAACATTAAAACAACAAATAATCGGATCTCATTCAAAAATTAGCCATTACATAAAGGTGAATTATATAGTCAGATGAATCACATTTCTGGCTGCATCAACATATTTTTCTTTTTAAATAGAAGGCTATAATAGTGGAACTGAACAAGTTTGACTTGAAGTTATCAGTGTCATCACGGCTAGATATTGTTCTGTTTAAAACAGTGATGGCTTAGAATAGTATATATAATTTTTTGTTAGGTCCCTTAATGCAGTGGTCTCAAACTTGCAGCCTGTGAAGCAGTTTAATATAGCCTGCGAATACATTTGACCTCTGTCTTTGTAACAAATACAGTGTTTATAATTTTAGAAACATAAAAGGTATGGAATGTACATGAATGGATATTGAAGGGGGGAAAAATGACTAGGCTAGACCTTTGTCTTTGGTACTGTATGCTTGTCTACAGTAAAGTGTCCATGCGTCTACAGTAAGGTGGAAGAATTTCCTACGTTGGTAGTCAGTAAATCTAATTTGCCAGCCAACAGCAGGTGATGCTTTAATATTCTGAGATTTCTGGTTGCCCAGTTAAGGTTAAAACTGGTAGCCCAGTTACGTTATTTAGTGGTTAATTCAACATACTGGAATTATCTGAAATAAAATCAGTCTAAAATTTAATATTTAGCTGTCAGTATATTTAAATTACAAACACAAATTTTTTGCAGGTACCAACTTTGAGACTTGAGATTTTAAATAAATATAAATTTGTATTTTCCTTTGTATTATTATTGTTTGTATAGGTACTCTTAAGATAAAAAATAATTTATAAATTTGTATTTTTCCTTTGTATTATTATTGTTTGTGTATGCTTTAAAAATTATTCAAAACATAAAATTTAAAACTGTTTATTTTTTATTCCTACTTTGTTAAACTGTCTTTAAATGTTGTTAACAAAATGTTTGGCCTATCAGCTGCTTTCATATCAAGGACTCGACCGGCATGCAATTTGAATTTGAGACCATTGCTTTACTGTGTCTGTATGATGTTTAAATGCCATAATATAACAGAATGTGCTAACTGATCATCGGCGATATTACTGCACTTATTTTCTGCTACACCATATTTTTTGTACTCTTGAAAGAAAGGGACTTGCTTTAGAACACTGTGTTGTGAAATTTGTAAAAAAATATCGTTATCATTAAGTACAAGGTGCCTGAAATAGAACTATCACACTACCAAATTAATCATTTACTTCCAGTTCTGTTGCAAAAAGTCAGCTACAAAATGTCACCAAATTATGTGCACAGCTTTAAGTACTAATGTTGCATCATATGACACTGTGGAGGTTTGGTACCAAAAGTTAAAAAACAAGGTCTATGACATTCAAGAAGCGGAGAGCTCTGGCCAGCATGCTGACAATGATGAAGCCCGCCTGTGAGAACTTGTGGAAGATCAACATGCAATCACTCAGGAGCTTGCTAAGTTACATATATCCATTAGTCATGCTATGCATCTCATAAATTTGATGAACAAGTTCAATCGTTGGATGTTGCATGAGCTGACTCAAGCAGATAAGGACAGACATTATTCGGGCCTGCACACTAATCTGCTCAAATGTCAATGCAAAAATTAAATTCTGGACCAGATTATCATTTGTGATAAAAGATGGATTTACTACAAGCCAAAAAGGAGGTTGGTCTGTGCCCAGTGAGCCCGTCGGCTGTCAAATTTGACTGACAAAAATGTCATGCTTTGTATTTGGTGGAATTGCCATGGTATTATCCACGAAGAGTATCTGGAAAGATAAAATGCTCTATAGTAAGTTGTACAGCGAGATGCTATTCTGTGTTGACAATGCTATCAAGGAAAAATGTCGAACTGAGATCTTGCGCAAAAAGGTAATGTTCCATCAAGATAATGCAAGACCACATGTGTCTGCATTCACCAACTGGTCTCTATATGAACTCGAACAGGAGCTTTATCCACAACATCACTTGTTCAGATTTCTACCTTTTTCACACCTGTAGCTACATCTTGCTGGTGCTATATTCCATTCTGCACAGTACGTCCAAAATGAGGTTGATCTGTTTTTGGAACTCGCTGTCACCAAGTTTCTGGGCCGAAGGCTTTGAAAAACTACCAAAACATTGGCAGACGATATAGATTTTGGTGGTGATTACTACCCACACTATAAGTACTGCTTTCATGTTTTTTTACAACTTTATAAAGATTTTGGTGGAAAACTTTCCTTACAACTAGATGTATTTCGAAATAGCAATGGAATTTACCTAATATAAAATAAATACCAGCTTCTAAACCATTTTCATTAAGGAAAATGTCGTCACTAATTTTTTCTGCAATGGTCACAAAAGTTCATTTTTGAACTGATAATATCGTTTCTGGAAATTATTTGACTGATGCTATGCTCTTAATTTTAATATTTGGAGCGGGCCCCTTATCTCAGCATCTGTAGAGAAATCCCCGATTTCATCTTATTCCGATAGTCTATAACTTATGTGTTTGGATATGTCTCAGAAAGTGACTGCAAGCTACCTGCATTTTCTGCCATCATTGTTACATCTTGAATTCTTTCATCAACGTCCACCCCAAATCATGTCAGCTGGACATACTGCTTTTTCTTCTTCAACTTCTATTTCATCATTCATTAAAGATTGACATAATCAAAACAATCCTTTGTCTTTTCTAAGACTTGTTTCAAAAGCATGTTCAGCAAGAGCAGCACATCATGAAGGTTAATTTTTATTCCTTAATTCATTCCCACATATTGTCGTACCATCCATATTATAAGGGATTCTAACAGTCACCTCACAGCAATAATACTCTTTCATCACTCTAATAATCGATTGATCAATTACTGAATTAGAGTGATACTGTGATATTTCCTGCCAAATCTACAACTTCAATATATTTGAGAAATACATTTACTTTATGTGCTCTGCAGATGTTAAAAAGAAAGATATCATTCTCCAGTTCATTATCCCATTTCAACAGCCATTCATTAAAAATTACTGAAAACAGCCAAACTTAGAATTCCAGCTGTAATAAATTAGTAATCCCCTCCAATTACTATAATAGTTTTCTTGCTTCTTGCTTATCACACATAATGAAGGAATATAAAATGGTCATACAATCTTTCAATATTTTAAGTTTTTAACTTTCAGTTTAAAATAAATAGTATTACATATTAGGACTACGCATAATACTATACAGACTGCTTTCATCTGCATTATGAATGTTTTCATGACAGTTATTTTAAAGAAAGTTTAGCCTATTCATTTGACAACTCTACTCCTGCAGCAGATAAATGAGCATTTTTTACTTCACTATTAACACATTCATGAATGATATTTTTTTTAAATATATGTTAAACTTATCGCATAAAACTGCAAAATAATTTATCCCCATTTTTATGGTTAATTCTTCAACTTTCTGTCATATCAACGAACTACGTATTTACTACAGCTCATTACTACGTCTTTTTCATAAACTTCTATAAACCAAACTGTCTGGCTTTTCAATATTGCAACCTTTCCCATTACACATCTGTTTCATGCTTCTGTTTTAAATTTTGCTTTGATTTGCAGATAAGAGCTTCACGATTCATTAAAATCACGACTAAGACAGGTTGAGAGCTATTTAACTAAACAGCAAAATTCCATTGACTGATTTTCAGGAGTTAGTTACAGCAGTCTAATAAATCAAACTAATCTCTTAGACTCAGATCGTTATGCCTTTTACTAGTCCCCATATTTTAAAATGATCATAACAGAATAAAAGTGACTATAGCTGATAAAAAAATAGCTGAAAGAAAGTGATTAAATAAAAATAATAAACACTTCCTAGAACACCAGCAAAAAGATTTTTTTGGCTCACAAAAGCAATGTTACCATATACCATAATTACAGCTTTGTTACACTATCAATTCAACGGATCTTTGTAAAACTTGGATAATAGGATCTTTTGTACCTATTATCGTACCTATTACCTATCAGTATTTGTACCTATTACTTAATCAAATTGGAAATGCATATAGCAATGTAAAGTTTAAAATTATTTAAAAAAATGAGTTCGACATGCATTCTTTTTGGAAAACTCTTTTGCTTCTGAAGAGGAAGGAACTGTATCTGATTGCCATTCAATTTCAGAGAGAATTATTCAAAATCTACGACAAAGTATGGTTGCTATTTTGCCCAATTTTCAGTACTTGACTAAAATCAAAACTAAGCAATTTGGCATCTTAATCAATTAGTTGGCAGCATTTCTCTGTCAATTAGCAATTTTTATAATGTTGCGTGCGTACGGGTTAGTTACGAAATGAATGCACAAGTCCGATGAAAAATGAAGAAAATTTATTATCACAACAAATATGCTTAAATTTCCTCAAATTATCGTGCAGTATTACAATATCTCACAGTAGTTATCTTTTAACTACTCAAACGTTCAATAGAACTTAATTCCAAAACAGCTAAAGAAAGCTAATCCGCGAATTCGCTACAATCAACAAGAGCAGTTTTCTAAACAACAACAAACTAAGTAACTACTACAATCTGAGATGTTTTCCTCCTTTTATAAGATTTTAAAATCACGCGCTAGAACTTTCTAGTACTTTCTTCTCAAAATCAAAAAGAGATATTTATTTATTTAATGCACACGCTCTTGTATTTTCAATTTTCTGGCTTAGCCTTCTTTTAATATTCGTCACGCACAGCACGACGCGAGAAATAAAACCATTTAATTTATAATTGAACTAACATTAGCTTTTTAAATACCAAATTCATAACACTGCCCCCTTCCCAAGGACTGCAAGTGCTGGGCAGTACAATCCCTGGACAGGAAGCCAAACTTAGAACTGAGGCATAAACATTACAATATCAAACAACATGAACAATAAATGCAATAATAACTTAAACAAATCAAATACTAAATGCATAATCAAATAACTAAATACAAATCAA